ATTTAAATTATATCACATTTTCAATATCGCGGAAAAAACGCTGATTGGCTGATATATTAATATGGCCGGCCATTTATTCCACCATTCTCATTGGTCAATTACCTTTATGCGCAACAGCACACCTCTATCTTTATTACACCATGGTCAAAACTTTTACCGGTGTTGCGAAAAACGCCGGAATGGCCGCTCTCAATGCTTCTCTCTGGTATGTTTAAACTGTGGCGATATTTGAACATTTGAATTTACAGTTTCATTAATTCATTCTTCGTTATCCCCTTCTTCGGTTATACCGGACGCTGTGAATTTCAAGTTCATCTTCCTTTGTAGTACAAAGTTTGTACCATTTGTACCAGAGAAATCTCAAATCAGTAATCAACATTAGAAGACGAGATGATCAACGTGGGGCTTCCGTGAGTATTGACAAAATAAATGCAGTTTATGATAACAGTCGAAATGATTGGACATTGCACTTGCATCATAATTATTAAAAATACTCTGATTTATCTTTGACTTGTAATTTTCGAGTTATGTTCTATCATGATTTACAATCGTGGACATTATAAGTTTTTAAGTTTTTGACATTGCAAAAAGCTAGGTTATTTTGCATCTCATATCTCATTTTTCAGGGAAGCTACTTCCTATTTCTGGAAGCAAAGCAGAATGGCAACGTATGACAACTGGCCCTTCAATAAATCCGACAAGTGTAACGCCGAACGAATGGCAGCTGCTGGATTTTATGTTGTTGGAGACAATAGTGAGCCAGACTTGGTCGAATGCTTTATTTGTGGCAAGCAACTCGATGGTTGGGAACTGGACGATGATCCATGGTACGTTAATAATGTGATTTGTTATACATATTTATTATTATTTTTGTCTCAGCAATGATTTATAAATTGAGAACTTATAGGAGTGAACATGAGAAGCATCAATCAAACTGTCTGTTTGTTCAATTAAACAAGCAAAATGAAAAAGAATGGACAGTGGATGAATTATACAATCTATTTAAAAAGTTTAAAACAAAAGAATATGTAAGTATAATTATATTTACTTTAAGTTAATTGTCAACCTATTTAATTTATTTAATAATAATATTACGCAAATCAATTGTATAGATGGACTCAGTACAAAAAAGTATCACCATACTGAAAGATGAAACGGCACATTTAATGAGTGAACTATCTGTAAACAGAATGTCAAAAAATAAAAGGAGTACCAGTTAAATGTTATATAGATTTTGTATGATATAATATCCATTCTATTTTTTAAGAACTTCTGAATATTTGAATATGTTTTGTAATGCTTAAAGAATATATCATGTACATATAATCAAGTTTCTCTTTTTGTATTCAGCTCATTTAATTAATTTAAGCATTAGTGACAAGGATATTTAATACAGAAAATTTGAGACAAATTTAAAAAAATGTGTGTTTTGATTAAAGTTTGTAAATTGATTAAAGTTTATGACTCACTATAAGATACTCTGTGTAGAATAGTATGTTCAGAAATGTACTGACAATAATAAAAATTTATAGCATTTGTAATATGAACTATAAATTTTTGGTATTACATTTTGGAATGTCTATTACATTTTGGAATGTCTATTACATCTTGGAATGTATCATTAGTTTTACTGGCTTACTTAGAATATAATATATAAACAGAAAAACGACATTGGATCCCTACTATCTCCAGCATTGCTATGTTTGCCCTACTCCAGTTCCATCAACTGCAGTTGCATAAGTATTTTTTTTTTCAATTAAATAATAAATGTGGTTGGATAATGTTGACAATTAAAAATGTGACCAAAAAAATAAATAGCATTGTATATCTTATAACAAATAAGTGACAGAGAGCATATATATCGATGCATGATATCGAATATCACTTCACTTTAAGTTTAATACAATTGCTTCAAATAGAATAAAAAACTGTATACTCCAAATAAATAAAAAAATTTCGAAAATGTGTACGTTAGAAATAATTTATTAATGTTTCCAACTGCGTAGACTCGTAGACAAATTTTCGGAATCTTTTGATAATTACTCCAATCAAATGAGAAGGCATCATTAAGCAGAAATCGCGATGCCGAAGCCGCTTTTCTGTTTATATTGGATTCTAGTTTCATTCACATAGTGTAGAATATTATTGTAGTAATGTTTTTGGCTCAGACATCTATTATATATCTATCATCTATTGTTATCCTATATTAGTAAAGTATAGATGTCTGCGTTTTTTTTTTAAGGAACACTCACGTTTATACATTAGAGACATGTTAGAAGCCGCTGTTAATTATCAGTCGCGTACATACATAAAATGTTATATTTAGTAGTATATCATCAGATCCCTTGTAGCAAAGATATTAAAAATAATAAAAAATTTTTAGTAAGATAAATAATTTATAGATAATAAATTTATTTGTTACAGCCAACTTGCATAAATACTAATATTTGTACAATAATATTAAGAATCGGATTACCCGGAAAATTCCGCGGTTTTCACTCACAGAGGCAGGTCAAATGGTCATGCACGATACTTTTTGCAATTTATAATTTCTCTGCAAGTTCTTGATGTATTGTATAATGAGGATTTTCGGCGATGCTTACTCCAGTAGATCATCATTCACAATGCAGGGATACATGCCCAGATTATGCCTCGTTTGAGAGTGAAATCGTACCTTGTTGAAATTTCACAAACCACTTACAAACTGTATCATCAGAAACAGTACCTTGTCCGTAGACTTTACAAATTTTACGCGCTGTCGCATGCGTTTTTGCCCTTTCTGAAGTAGAAAAGCGTAATATTGCAAAAATGTTTTTGATTCTCCATCTTTAGGGTATTATAGAATTGAATATACTGAACATATGCCATTATGGATGGTGTACATACAGTCATGGACACATCGGTTGCGACACTTTCTTTTTTATAGGTTTCAAAACGGACTAATATTTTGCAAATGCGGACCACGATTGGTGTTATACTGTCTCTAGACTAAAGATGGTACATCG